TTTTTTTTACCTTAGCTAGATTTTGCCAAAGCTCACAGAGGTAATCAAAAACTTGGGCATGTATTTCAGGATCCATAATAGCGTTGACATCTCCCAAAATGCCTAGCATTCTTCGCCACATTACAGTAGCAACATCAGCATGCCAACCTGTGAGTGTACCCCCTGCCATCACACTACAACATTCAGATGGAAATTCACTGATTTCTATAAAATAAACCAATACGTTGGTGTTAGTAATTTTTCTAAAGAATCACAAAGACAAGAAAGAGTCAAATTAACAATCTTAAATATCTATAAAAGCAAATTTTAAAAATGTCAATAGGCACTAGTGTTATTTTTTCCTAATAAGATCAAAACCTCACCAGTTCGTGATTCCATATTATGGCAATAATTACTTATTCAATGGAACTTGTACTAGGATTTATCTAAGGAGGAAATGATGCTGATAGAAGTATATGGTTGACATAAAGATCATATGTGTAAGTATATACTCTCTCTTTATCAAATGACTACTTCAGGTTGTATCATCAAATTAATAGAAGATCGCAGGCTGAAAGCAGATCTTGTAGGAAGTCTTCATAAGCCTATCTTTGTACTTAAAACTTCCAAAGAAATGTATTTCTATATTTCAAAACTAAATCAGGCTTAGCATTAAAAGGGATATTACTGTTATTAATTATGTGATGTCATACAAATTATTTAATAACCTAATGCTATACTTCTCACTATGAAATAGATGGTTTAGCTAAATATCATTATAGGTCTCCTCCAACTTAAAAAACACCCATTATTCTATTCAGTGTATATAACAGAAAAGGCGAAATCATTACTAAGATTATTCCTACTTGATAATATCTCAATATACTCATAATTTACAAGTTCATTCTTAATATATGCACATCCTTTATGCCTAATGTTTAACTTTTTTTCTCTTTCTACATAAAGTGTACAATGATTGTATTATAAAAAAGTTACTAGTCTTTCATAATAATAAAAAATAACCATCTGGTGTATGCTCATTGAAATAAAAGAAAAAAAAAACACTGTAGTTTTAACCATCACTGTTAACATCTCCCTACTCTATGGAACCTTCATAATATGGTGAAAAATCAACTGATTTGTCTTTAACTTATCCCTCTCAAAAACAAAATTTTAAATAATTGCAAAGCCAGCAACAATGTGTGATCCTCCTCTGAATCCTGAATTGGGCTGGTAGTGGTGTGGTATAGCTATAAAAGATATTCCTACTGAAACAACTGGGGAAATTTGACTTTGGATTAAAAACTGCAGTAATGGGGGCACCTGTGTGGTTCAGTCAGTTAAGCATCCAACTTCAGCTCAGGTCATCATCTCACCATTCCTGAGTTTGAGCCCCACATTGGGGCTCTGTGCTGACAGCTCAGAGCCTGAAGCCTATTTCAGATTCTTGTCTCCCTCTCTTTCTCTACCTCTCCCCCACTCATGTTCTGTCTCTCTCTCTTTCTCTCCCTCCGTCTCTCTCAAAAATAAACAAACGTTAAAAAAAAATTGCAGTGATGTTTCAATGTTAAATATGCTGAATGTGACCATTACAATGTGGTTATACAGGAAACACTAAAGTGTTTAGGTGTAAAGGGTCTAAAATTTGCAATTCACTACTAAATAGCTCAAGAAAGACAGACAGAAAGAAAGAAAGAAACAGAGAAAGACAGAAAAAAGACAGAAAGGCAAGAAGGAAAGAAGAAAGAAAGGAGGAAAGAAAGAAAGAAAAGTGGCACGCCTGGGTGGCTCAGTCAGTTAAGCTTCCAACTCTTGATTTCTGCTCAGGTCATGATATCAGAGTCGTGATATCAACCAAGCCATGCATCTGGCTCTGCTCTGGGTGTGGAGGCTGCTTGGGATTTTCTCTCTCCTTCTCCCTCTGATCCTCCCCAACTTACGTGGAAATTAAAGGGGGGGGGGTTGTTTTTGTGCACGTGTGTATGTAGATACAGAGATAAAGTGGTAAAATATTAACAACTGGTGAATTCATCTAAAGGCTTAATGTGTATTCATTTTACTAGTCTTGTAACTTTTCTATAAGTTAGAAATTTTTTCCCACTGTTGGGGAAAGAAACTAAAAGCAAGGATGAACTAAAAACTGCAGGCCAAAAGGAGGAAAGAAAAGGCCAAAATAATCCAGAAATCAGACCATAAGGGTTATGTAATTGCAAGATAAATGCATATTATGAGAATGAGTACCTTAAAACTATAAGGCCAGAAGTTATAGAGAGTAAATGTACTGCAGCACCAATGAAAACTGGCATTTTATATTATTCATTGTTTTGGGCATAATTGCAAAATGACGTTTTATCCTGATCCTTGTTACATTATGTAAGACTCAGCAGAAATAACTTTTATTAAAACTTGCAGTTTCTAAGGTTTCCTAGTCACTTTTTAACATTTACTTAAAAATACTTCCTGCTTTAGGAAATGGCAGAATATCAATAAATGATAATTTAACACACAAAAATAATGCAACCAGTAATGCCAGGACTGTAGGCAACTATAATAATACAACAAATATTAGACTATAAATATTTTTAAGAGCAAGAAAAAATGTTAAGTAACAAATTTCCAAAAGACTCACAAAAGTTCAAAAGACTTATAATAATACTCTATGTAATCAAAAGTTTAAGATGTCTAAATTAAGATCTCCTAACACTAATGCCCTGAAAGGAAAAATGGCAAATATCTAATTTCCAAATATTGCCTAGGTCATCTGGCGTCTGAAGAACAGAATGGTGGAGCTTCTCATCAAGCTGCAGATCTTTCTGTTCCATGTGATCTATATTCAGTGTGGAAGGAGAAGGCGTCTGTGACCTGGATCCCAGAGCTGAATGGACTGGAGAAGCACTTTCTGAACCTGTAAATATAATTTCATAAACTTATCATAAAGAGAATATTCAATACTCTCTACCTAAGATGTAATGCTTAAAATCCCAATAAGATACAACTGAGAAGCATCAAAGGCCAAAGAGGTAAAGAAAATCATAATACTGTACATGATTTTGTATCTAAGGGTCTCATTTGATTTCTTCCAGGGTACTAGAATGGAATCAGAACTGGGCATAACAGTTAATAGAAGCCATCTGTGAAAGTGATAATGTCCATTCCTGATGCAGCTAGAGAAACTCTAGTACCCACTGCTACTCTATTTCGCTTACTTCAGACCCGGGGCTATTCCTGAGAAGAACTTGCTCTGCATGGCTCTATATGCTACTATCATTGCTAGCCTGGTTTATGGTGATCCCTGATGGTCCCCAGTCGTCAATCTCCCTCTTACCCCTATTCCTTCCTCCCAGTCCATTCTTCATAAGGCAGCAAAAAGATCTAAAAATCTAATCAGATGTTACTTCCTTACTTAAAATATTCTATGGCTCTTTACTGGCCATAGCATAAGCCCAAACTTATTAGTGGGTTTTCCAGTCTTTCTTCAACTTTCTGATCACTCCATAATTCCCCTGTTACTTTTAAGTTCTAGCCACAGAGCTAGCCTTTTCCACATGTTTTTCCTTTGCATGGGGCCATCCTGTTCTTACAGGTCTGGTTAACTTCTTTTTATTTTTCAGGTCTTACTTTAGACACTTCTTCCTTAGAAGCCTACCCACTGTTGACCTACCCAGTGTGAATAAGGAGTCTCTGCCATATGCACTTGTAACCATTATACCACTTATAACACTGACTAACACTGACTTGAAACACACTGTTTAGTTTTGAATATCTTCACTAATGCAGAAACTCTGTAAAAACAGGGACTGTATCTACGTTATACACTGAAGTATTGCCAGTGCCTAGTGTAGTGTCTGGTACATAGCAGAAACTCATGTTAATTTAAATTATGTATAGCATAAATTAATACTTATTTAACACTTTGTGGTGGTTGTAGTGAGGTGATGCTACTACCAAGCAAGCCGCTAAAATATCAGGACCTTTCAACAGAAAATTAATAAAGAAAGATCAGCCTTAAATGACAGATTAGACCAGATGGACTTAACTCATATGTTCAGAACATTCCATCCACAGGAGCAGAATACATATTCTTCTCAAGTGTACATGGAACATTCTCCAGGATAGATCACATGTTAGGTCTTATAAGTCTTACTAAATTCAACAAGACTGAAATCATTTCAGACCACAACAATATGAAACTAGAAATCAACTACCAGAAGAAAACTAGAAAAACTACAAATACACAGAGATTAAATATGTTTCCAAATACCTACAAAGTGAATGAAAAATTAAAGGAAAAATTAAAAAAATACATAGAAGCAAATGAAAACAGAAATATGACATACCAATATCTATGGAATGCAGCAAAAATGGTTCTAAGAGGGAAGGTCATAGCAATATAGGTCTACCTCAAGGAAAGAGAAATCTCAAGTAAACAATTTAATTTCATATCTAGGCAAACTAGAGAAAAAAAAGGACAAAACCCAAAGTTAGTAGAAGGGAAGAAATAATAAAGATCAGAACAGAAATAAATGAAATAGAGACTAAAAAGACAATAAAAGAGATCAATGAAACTAAGAGCTGGTTCTCTGAAAAGATAAAAATGACCTAAACGCATAAGAAAAACAAGATAGAACTCAAAGTCAGAAAAGAAAGAAAACACATTACAACCAATACCACAGAAATACAACCTAGAGGAAATGGATGAATTCCTAGAAATTTATAATCTTCCAAGACTGAATCATGAAGAAACAGAAATCTGAATGGACCAGTCACTAGTGAGGGGATTGAACCCAAAATCAAAAATCTCCCAATGAACAAATGTGGTCCAGGACCACACAGTTTCATTCGTGAATTCTCCCAAACATTGAAAGAATACTTAACACCCATCCTTCTTAAACTCTTCCATATACTGAAGAGGAAAAAACTTTCAAACTCATTTTACGAGGCCAGTTTTATCCTCATACCACAACCAAACAAGGACATCACACAAAAAAGAAAATTATAGGGGCGTCTGGGTGGCTCAGTCAGTTAAGTGACTGACTTCGGCTCAGGTCATGATCTCACTGTTTTTGAGTTCGAGCCCCGCATTAGGCTCTGTGCTAACAACTCAGAGCCTGGAGCCTGCTTCTGATTCTGTGTCTTCCTCTCTCTCTGCCCCTCCCTCTGCTTGCAGTCTGCCCCCCTGTCTCTCAAAAATAAATAAACATTAAAAAAAAAAAAAGAAAGAAAATTATAGGCCAATATCCCTAATAAACCCAGATGCAAAAATCCTCAATAAAATATCAATAAACTGAGTTAAAACAACACATAAAAACAATCATACACCATGATCAAGTGAGATTTATTCCAGGGAGACAAACATGGTTCAATATCCGTAAATTGACCAATGTGATACACATTAATAGAAGATAAAAATTATATGATTATTCCCAAAGCAATCTACATATTCAATGCAATCCCTATCAAAGTAATACTAGCATTCTTCACAGAGCTGGAACAAATAATGCTAAAGTTTGTATGGAACCAGAAAAGACCCTGAATAGCCAAAGCAATCTTGAAAAAGAAAAACCAAAGCTGGAGGCCTCAAAATCCCAGACTTCAACCTATCCTACAAAGCTGTAATCATCAAGACATTATGGTACTGGCACAAGAACAGACACTCATATCAATGGAACAGAATAGAGAACCCAGAAATGGACCCACAAACACATGGCCAACTCATCTTTGACAAAGCAGGAAAGAATATCCAATGGAATAAAGACAGTCTCTTCAGCAAGCAGTGCTGGGAAAACTGGACAGCGACATGCAGAAGAATGGATCTGGACCACTTTCCTACACCATACACAGAAATAAACTCAAAATGGATGAAAGACCTAAAGAACACATGGGCTAACTTCCATTTTTGACAGAGAGAAAGAATATCCAATGGAAGAAAAGACAGTTCTCTTCAGCAAGCAGTGCTGGGAAACTGGAGAAGCGACATGCAGAAGAATGGATCTGGACCACTTTCCTACACCCATACACAGAAATAAAACTCCAAATGATGAAAGACCTAAATGTAAGACAGGAAGCCATCAAAAATCCTTAGAGGAGGAAAAGAGGTAAAAACTCCTCCTTTAATCCTGGGGCCGCAGTACTTACTCAACACGCTCGAGGCAAGGGAAACAGCAAACTACTGGGACATCAAAATAAAAAGCTTCTGCACAGTGAAGGAACAAATTCAGCAAAACTAAAAGGCAACCGACAGAATGGGGAGAAGATATTTGCAATGACATATCGATAAAGGGTTAGTATCCAAAATTCATACAGAACTTATCAAACTTCAATACCCAAAAAAACAAATAATCAGGAAGACATGGGCAAAGACATGAATAGACACTCCTCTCCAAGAAGACATCCAGATGGCCAACTGACACGTGAAAAAATTATCACCTATTATCAGGGAAATATAATCAAAACCACAATGAGCACCTACACCCTTCAGAATGGCTACCTCATTAACAACTCAGGCAACAACAGATTTTGGCAAGGATGCAGAGAAAGAGGATCTCTTTTGCATTGTTGGTGGAATGCAAGCTGGCAGCCACTCTGGAAAAACACTATGGAGGTTCCCTAAAACCAAAAATAGAACTACTCCCATGATTGTAATCTATTATTGTAGGCATTTATCCATGGGATACAGGTGTGCTGTCTCTGAAGGGACACATAACTCCCCCAGCATGCAGAAAATTCATCAACAATAGCCAAAAGTATGGAAAGAGCCCAAAACATCAATAGATGGAATGGATAAAGAAGATGTGGTATATATATACAATGGAGTATTACTTGGCAATCAAAAAAAGAATGAAATTCACATTTGGCACTATGTGAATTGAACTGAGGGTATTATGCTGCGAAATTAGTCGTCAGGAGAAAGACAAACATCATATGACTTCACCATATGACGACTTTAAGAGACAAAACAGATGAAATATAAGGGAAGGGAAACAAAAATAATATAAAAAAACACAGGAGGGGGCAAACAGAAGAGATCATAAATATGGAGAAATAAAAACTGAGATTACTGAGGACTGAGGGATATAATAAATGGTAAGTGCATTAAGGGGAATCTACCCTGAAATCACTGTTTC